ATGTTAATCTAGAAATAGCCTCTGCATCATTAATAAATAAATCGTCTATCCTTCCTAGTAGGGGTTTACGGTAAGTGGTCTAGTCCGGTGTGGTACTGAGGCTGAATTGGAGCACGTCTTTGCCTCTGGGTCCTGATTGTCGGGGGGGACTTCTGGAGGATGCATGGTTTTTCAGGGATCTGCATGGGTGGACACGGGTTACCCGCCTGGCAGTTTTGTCAAGCCACAGTGGATTTGTGTTGGTCCTGGGGCTACCTGAGGTCTATGGGGTGGCAAGCCCTGGTGGGGTCCGTTCTGGGGGTTGGGGGCTTGGTTCTGGACCGATCTGCTGCCTCATTTGTGTTTTTTTTTGTGCCTAACTTACTCTGGGGTCCATTGGCGCCCCTGCTGACACTGGGGTCCATTGCACTGGTGGGGGAACAGGAAGACGAAAGAGGCCGTGTTTAACCTTCAGGTGGTATGAGTTAATTTTGCAGTCACAGGCATCAGACAGAGAAGTAGACCCTAAATCTACCATCTGAGATTGTGTTTAAATATTCCGTATTTTAAAGGTACACCTTTAAAATACTGAGGAGGAAACACATTTTAGCTGCTTAACTGTTAACAGAGGGGCTCTAACTAATGCTAATATCTTGTGTCTGTGAGAAAGAGACTGAAATAACAGAATAAGCCTTTAAGTGCAGTCTTACACTCCACTCAAACAAATGTGTTTGTTTTTTTAGCCTTTGTACTGGGCTCCATTGTTGCTGGCGTTCCAATGAGAGCACATTGAAGGATTTCTGTTTGATGGAGCAATGGAGTTTGAGAAAAAGGCTTGAACCATTTCTGGAATTAAACATCTTCTCCACCTCCCTGACTGAGTGTCCTCGTCTGTTTAGTGATCACCGTGTCTTTTAACAGGATAGTGCTCCTTGGTCCATTTCACAACCAACTTCTTCCAGTAAAATGATCTCCCTCTTTAAGCTCATCCCACTTGATCACACAACCTAAAACTCTTTGAGAGTTTAAGTAAGAACGGCAAGTGAAGTTTACCCAGGGGGGCCAAATTCACCACATTGAGCAGAGTTAATAAAACCATAGAAGAAGCCAAACTATATATTTTTTGTAATATTGCTATTGTTGTTTTATTTCTGATTTCTGGTGTTACTTTACTTAGGCTACGTTCACACAGCGAGCTGAATCTGATCTTTTCATGACAGTCTAAACAACTCAGATCCCATTTTTTCCAATGCGATCCAGGCTACTTGGCTCTGTGGTTCTGAATCCGATACGAATCTAATCTTTTCAAATACGACCTGTGTCTGAACAGCCAGGTCGCATTCTTCCGACCTGTGTGCCCTTGATACCCAACAAGGGTCACTATTCTGCATCTTGCTACGCAGAAGCAGCAATAAAAACAACAACCATTGCGGACGATGATGTAGAGAGCAGGCTTTATGTTTAACCATCTTGAAAAGATTGAGTTTTTATGGTTGAGAAAAATCGCTAGATGCGCTCTGGCATTACCATCCATGTTTACCTAAGTAAACACAGAGCAAACTGGCTTGTGATGTCACATACAAGTCGCATATATTTAGAAATGTGGATGGCAACGCAAAAAAATCGGATTTCCCAAACAAATCGGAATGGTGCATTAAGGCCTGCAGTGTGAACGTAGCCTATCTGTAGGTATCCTTACTGTAGGTGTAGAAGCATCTTTAGGGGGTTATCCTGTATTCTTTTTATCCTTTGTTCACTTTATAACTTTTCTTTGTCCTTCACTCTTGTACCCCAGTATTTCACCCTTTCTTTCTTCTCTTTCACCCTTTTGTTTTCTGTCTCTGTGTGCATTGCATTTAAAGTAAAGGAGCTTGAGATTTCTTTTTCTTTTTTTTTTTAGCATAAAAAATTTTGTATTTGGCCAACTACTTTGCATTTCATTTCCTCCAAGGGCCTTCTGTCTTACTTTAGCATGATATGTTTAAATAGATATGGGTGTGTGTGTGTGTGTGTGTGTGTGTGTGTGTGTGTGTGTGTGTGTGTGTGTGTGTGTGTGTGTGTGTGTGTGTCTGCAGCCAGAACAATAAAAAGTGATTAACCGTTCTCTGAGCCATTCAGCTTGTTTTTATAGTAAATCTCTCAGGATGTTAGACAAACGTTATGTTAAGGTCTACCTTTAAAGCTTGTAAATCTACTCTTTTTACCAGATCTGGAGGAAATTAAGGATTGACAGTAAATTAAAGTAAAACTCTTAACTCAGATCCACTTTAACAACTTCTTAAGGCTTCTAATGGGATTAAGAGATTTACTTGTGTCACAGCTAAGAGATCTTTAGGAACTAGATTTGCTACTTTGGCTCTGGAATCAGAGATGGCAAAAGTACTCACTTTCCGTGAGTAAAAGTATAGATACTTGTGTTAAAAAATACTCTGGTAAAAGTGGAAGTACTGATTAAACTTCTTTACTCAAGTAAAAGTAACAAAGTACAGGCTTGTAAATTTACTTAAAGTATAAAAGTAAAAGTAGAAACCACTTTTTTCATGCCGTTGCCTACATTTTAAATGGATGTCTGCCAATAGGACTAGATCTCCGTTGTGTTCATTTTCAATCATCTCGTCGTCCATGCTACTATGCTAACGCCACCGCCACCAAGCTGCAATGATTTGCCGCCAATGAATACCGCCGAATCTGTCGATTCATCTTGTAGTGGTGCGTCAAATGCAACGTAGATTCCCATCCAATTAGATTGAATTTAGTATTGATGACGTGAAAAATAATAACGGTAACTCCATTGAAATGATTCAAAACTAAAGTAACGAGCCAATTTTTTAAAATGTAAGGAGTAGAAAGTACAGATATTTGTGTAAAAATGTAAGGAGTAGAAAGTACAGATATTTGTGTCAAAATGTAAGGAGTAGAAGTAAAAAGTTGCCATAAAAATAAGTAGTAAAGTAAAGTAAAAATATCAGAAAAATCTACTTGAGTACAGTAACTAAGTATTTGTACTTTGTTACTTCCCATCTCTGTCTGGAATTATGCTCCATTTTAAAGTGGAGAGCTTTATTTTTGATGCTTTTGCCTTAAACTTATAGTATTTTAGCCTGATAAACCAGATTAAATAGGAGATTAAAGTTGTTATTTAGTCCTGCCAGATGAGACGTCGGAAGGTTGTTGATGAGAACAACGCGTTGTGTTTTAAACCATGTCTGTGCCTATTGGCAAACGGTCTGACCAATGAGAGCAACTGACTGTGATGTAGGAAGCGCGGCAGGAAGCTGGTGGGGGAGTGTAAACAAACAGCCTGTCGGTGAAACGGCGAATACGTCTTTCTCAAAAATGAATGAGCGTAGAACCCCAAGTCTAATCCTTCCAAAACTGATTCCAAAGCTGAGCCAAAAATCGCCATTAGAGCCAGCGGTCCTTAACACAAGACTATGCCGAGAGAGGGCGCGCCGCAGACGGGCTGCAGTTAGCCCGGGCTGCTGTTAGCCTCGGAGTTCCGTTAGTTGCAGTGGTTCTCTCAACTTCGGAAATTGTTTTTTTAATTACGCATTAAATCGATAAATGGACTTTGTGGTCACGACATCAATACTCTACCTTCTTTGCATCCAGACATTCAAAACACATCTCTGCGTTGTTATTGGCCCGCCAGATTTAGGGCCTGGGGCATTGATCGAGGCTAGACCACTCGCACGCAAAAAAGATTTTGGCCGCTAGGGGGTGGGGCTAGTTTACTAGGCTGAGAGTATTTTAACGACATACAATTTTGCACAAAATGTTTTGTATTCTCTGCTTATACTAAGCATTCCTAAGTAATTTCTTCAGATAATTTTTAATGTTTATTTTTGTAGTCCAAGAAAAAATATGAAAAGAATTACTACACACTACTACTGTCTGTCTTTTTTTTTTTTTTTTTTTTTTTTTTTTTTTTTTTAGGACTAACTTTGGCAATAGGTGCCCTAGTTTTTGGTTTGAGGACCTGTCCTCTGATCTTTAAAGGACTTTGGTCAGTAGGTAACCTTTTGTCATAGACCACAAAAATCATATGTGTCATTCCCCAAGAGTCCATCCTAGGCTACCTTCTTTTTTAATATCTACATGTTTCCCCTTTGCAGACTATGCGGTTATATGACCGGGAACCACAAATCAGACACAAAATCTGGGTGTAGTGATGGAACGTAAGGGCAGACACAAGGTTGGCCTAAAGAACCTTTCCAGGATTCAAAGATTAGTATTTTTGCAGGTCAGCCCAAATAGTCAAACAAACAGCAGCAGCTGCTGCAGAATGTCGCCGCCTGATAGGCTGCGTATCCTCCCGCAGCCGCGTGTTGCAGCTAGCTTGTTGCAGATATGAAGCAGATATTTATAATTTAAGCAAAGTTGTGAAGCGTGGTCTGCGCTATGTTATTCCACGCCACAATGCAAGAGGGACAATCACCAACTAGCCAGGATTTTGGGTGTCTGTGTGTCAATTTGACGAGCTTGTTCGCCATCTACAACCCCTCATCCAATGCCGGACAACACACAGTTCACCAGTGAGTGTTCCCCAAAGACTGGCCATGGCGCTGCATGTTTTGGCTTCGGGTGCAAACCAACAGAACGTCACGCAGAGCTACAAACTAGCGTCCTGTACGGTGTCTGGGATAGTGTCCGAGGTGTGCCAGGCATTGTAGATGGCACTACAGCCAGAGTTTCTGCCATTAGGTACCAAACAGGAAATACACATAGGGCCAGATCTATCAAAGGTTTGCATGTATAAAAACGTGAGCTATTTCACTGCGCATGCTAAAAAATTTACAAACTGATCTATCAACAGCGTGCTCAAAGGATTTGGTCTTTAAAACGTGCTAAATAGCGCCTCTTATCCATTTAGTACTTTTTCTGTAATGAAT